CACCAATTAACGCCTTCCACGAGCTAGATACCACTACCTGCTTACCCATACCTATAAATATCCACCAACAGTAATCACAATTCACACAACATTCAGCCTTGATAATGGATGCAGAACGCATTCGAAACGCGTCGGCCAACTCATCACGATCAACAACTTTTACCCGTTGTTCTAACAACATTAAGACGGCTTATCGACTTCTTGAGAAGAATTCTAAGAAGAAAGTAAACCTACAGACATCGGGCTTGTTTAACAAAATGTATATATATATATATATATATTGTGGTTTCAGAAACACTGGCAACCCTAAAAATACATTATTACTGTTTATAGTGTTTTTAGAAAACCATGAAGAAATTTAAAAAAGGTTCATAAGTTTCCCTAGTAGCAAAATTAAATGTATTTTCCTTTAATTCATAGCAAAGTTAACATTTTCATTAAATGAAAGTGTATTTCCAATAGATCCTCACCTCTATACATAGATTAGTTATTATCTTCTTGAAGTTACACTAATCTACCCGAGAAATTTACATGCCACCAGTCTTATGAAAACTCCCACCTAAAATTCACGTGAAATATGTATCATACAGCAAAACCCTCCACAAATAGGAGTTCAACACCTCCTTCTGCAAATGCTCCTTCTATATTCACGTACAAAATTCCTCAATCTTTCATGAAGCAACCAATAACAGTGCACCAGAAAAGTGGAGCAGAAGAGTGGGAACATGTACAGAGGCAAGTATCTATTGTAAATACATTTTAGAAAATGTTAACTTCTAATATGATCACTCACCTCTGTAAACATATTAGCTGGAATTCCATGTTAGAGGGACTGGTGCAAAAGTTACCTAGATTAACCTCCTTTTGAAAGCATCAAAATGAAGCCCATTGGGTGCAACACCCTATAGCAAGGCTCCATAAAGTTACACCTGTGGGAGACAACATCTCATCTCATCCAGGGTAAACTCTTTGCCTGAGTGAAGGATTAAGAAAGGCAAGAAGCCTGAAAGGTGTCACAAGGGCAGAATAGAAACATGACCATCTGAAAGCTTTCACACAAGCCATCAGTAAGCCAATACGTGTAGTGAGGTTTGGGCACATTCAGACTGTACCATGTGTGTTCACCTCCTCAACCATCAGTTTCTAAGTACCAAATGTGGGAGAATAGCACATGTGAAAAGTATATGTGGCTCCTCAACTATCAGACATTCAGGACTCATGCCAATCACAGGTGGAGGGCACTGCAGTGGACATAACTAATAAAGATACTTATGAAACCAGCACCCAACCTTTAGACTCTACTGGTCTTTCACCAGCTGTGAGAGTAGCGTGAATGAGTGATACATCACAGTTGGATATTAAGAAATATCATTTACTCTGCAAGCATATAGTGTGGGGTCATGACCATGCAGAAGTAAGTAAAGAAGAAACAGAGTAAGGGAGATATGTGTCCAAAATCCACTCAGAAATATGATGTATCTAAGCAAGATTTAGGTGGTCTGCACTACACTTCAGAAACACCTCTGACCCACATCCCAACATAGAAGGTTTGTTAGTTTGTAATTAAGCCCAAAGCTACACAATGGGCTATCTGTGTTCTGCCCATCATGGGTATTGAAACCTGGTTTCTAGCTTTATAAGTTCACAGACATACCACTGTGCCACCAGGGGACAGCATAGACGGACCCCATGTTTTAGAACCAGCTGTTAGGTCCCAATTAATGTGAATTCTCCATGGTCTACTACCCCAGTAGTTGGGAAGTGGCAAGGGTCTTCCCATTCTCCACTTGGAGGGGGGGGGGGATTCACATAGCAAACTGGAAAAAGTTATAAAAACACCACAAGTAAAATTTCAATGGTCTTGCAGAACACCCCCATCTCAGAGTGGGCAATGACTGGGACAGGGTGGATGATCTGAATGCTTTCCATTATCCTGGACCAATGGAGAATTTTGGGTAAGTATACCCTGTGAAGCAACACTAGCTGCCTAGTGTGATTCAAATGTAGAGAAAATAAGTAAAGGAATACTCTCACCTGTTACAGGTGAAGGGCAATTGAAGAATGACTATTGGTGGAAGTCTGTATGCCACTTGCCACCTCAGAAAAAGAGAAG